AGATAACTTTACACAAACGCTGATTTTTATCAAGCAAAACTTATTTATTACAAAAATATTTTATTTATTTAATTTTTCATTGTCTCTGAAGAAGGCTCAAAAATGAGCCAAAACATGTAAGAATAATTTTTGTAATAAATAAGTTTTGCTTGATAAAAATCAGCGTTTGCGTAAAGTTATCTGCGCTTAACTCCTAGTGTCCTTTTCCTTTCCAAGTTAATTTTGAATTATACGGGAGTTTTTGTTATCAAAGAATTATTATACAATTTCAAGTTCTTTTAAAAAATCTATAGCAAAAGACATGCATAAACTTCAATAAAGTATTCTAATATATAGATTATTGTGAAATAGGTCTATACATATAAAAACATGTTTTTGCAATTTCAAAACGCAATACTTTACAAATTTATATAATATATATACAGTAATATATTCGACATAAAATGCTAATAAAGTTGCTAAGTTTTAATAGGATATTACTCTCATTTCTGCTTTCTTTTTCTCTTCCTCTAGCTGCCTAGATTTGTTGATCCATACTTGAGTATCATCATCCGAATCAACTTCACCCAAATTCTTCACTTTTGACAAATTTGCCTCAATTTGTCTCTTTTCTTTCTGAGTACCTATCTTTTCTCTCAGCTTCTGCGCTTTTATTTTATCACTATTGTTTGGTGCAGGTTTATGATAAAACTCGCCCAGATCATCTTTAATTTTGTTAGGATCATCTTTAGATATATTATCTACTTCCAATGGTTTTAATCCCAATTTTGCACGAATCTTGTTGGTTTCTTCAATAGATAATGAGGTTTGCGATGCTCCACCTTTAACAGGGGATGGACTACGCTGTTTTGAGATTTCAGGTGGAGGAGGTGTCGATGGATGTGATGATTTGGATATTTTTGGTGGCGGCGGAGCATTAACGATTTCAACTGAAAGTTAAAAGCTTTCTCATTCTTCTATAATTACATACAAGTATAATTACTAACTATTATAATTATATGTAAATGCACTTTTATTTGTTACAATTGCACATAATCTGTTACTATATATGCATACATATAGTAATATATATATTACTATATACATATATATATATATGCTATAGTACACTACCAATTCTCTTACCATCGCTGTCGTAGTCTTTACGCTCTTTCCTTCTGTGCTTCTTATGGTGCCTGTGTTTCTCCGACTTTTCGCGTTCGGGTGTGTAGCTTCTAGAGCGACTGCGATGACGCTTCTTTTTGGTATCACGAGACTTTTCGGTTTTATGACGTTTGTTGGAGCCCATATTAGTGCTCTCGATTTAACGGTGCTTTCGTTTTTTCTGTTTCACGATTACAGCTCCGTAGACGTATATAACTGATGCTACACACGTATGTCGTCGTACTACTCTTACTAATTGAATTGTCGACAATATCGGGATACTATTGCAAAACAGCAATAAAATACCGTGAGATATCACAAATCACAAACTGAGTCGATATACTTGTTCCACAGTTCCATGGTGGAAGTAAAAAGGTGTGCTTATGCGCAGGCACTTTTTGCTGGCCAATGACAGAGCCTGACTCAACTTCGCCATCTTGAATAACTTCTAACGGGGGAAATTTTTAAACGAAGAAACGCAAAATATTATGCACATACAATTAAATACACCACCATGCACGGTTCCATCTAGAATTAACGAAGTAAAAAGAGACCAAACCATTGGGCGCGTTCAAATTGACAAAACAACTAGCCTGCTCACCGAGCAAACGAACATAATTGGTTGTTACTTACAGATCCAACCAATCATATTCAATCTCTCAGCAAACATATCTAGGGTGCGGTCAAAGTCTCGCTACAAATGCTTTGAAGCGTTTGATTGACCAATCAGAACAAAAAGTATTATATTTTATCCAATCAAAAAAATGCTTCGAAGCATTCGTAGCATTAGGTCTGTTCGCGTTGCTTGCACTTTTTGCACTTACCATCTTCGCTTTCTCTCTTTTTAACGTCGAATATATATCTGTCTCATTTTAAGTGCAAAATTATTTGGGGATTTCATGCAACGCGAACAGACCTATTAAATGGGCCTCAATAGTTTTGCAACCGTTTTATGATCCGTCTCGCTGATTGGATTATATTTTTAAACCTAAAGGAATAGTCCTATCTCAACGAAGAATCATAAAACAGTTGTAAAACTGTTGAGTCTGCTAAACGCGACCATTGGGCGAGTTCAAGACGGCAAAGCGGCTAGGTACGCTTACCGAGCGATTGAATATAATTGGTTATTACTTATAGATCCAACCAATCATACTCGATCGCTTGGCAAGCGTACCTAGCCGCTTGAACTCGCCCAATGTCATGATTGGCTGACAGTCACGCCAATCAGGACGCGGAACATCGGTGCGCTTCTCTGTCTCTAGCTGTCATGAACTGTCTTGAACTCGCCCATTTGTAACCAAGGGTGCGTTCCGAGTCGCGCATGAAGCGCGTGGACTGCAATACTGATGCACAACACTTTGAAATTGTTCCGTTTTTTCAATGCGCGCATAACACGCATGAAGCGCTTATGAATTCGGACCGGTTTCCTGTGCGAGCTATGCGAGTTCAAGATGGACGCTATACAAGACGTCAATAAACAATTTCTAATAATTGTAATTTCTTCTTTAATACTTTTAAAGAAAAATGATGAAAGTTCCGATGACAATTCCGACTCGAGCGTTAGTGAAAATGAAGTCGAAGGCATATCTCTAAATGATACGCAGAAAATTTTTTTTTTCTATTAATAGTAGATAAATCACGTGGAAAACAAATTGGAGTTGAAAAAAATTATTGATTACGTCGATCGCGTAATTCCTAATTAATATAACGTCTAATCTATACATTAAATAAATCAAGGTAAAATAATATGCCATTAATTTTGATGGAAGTATTCAACATAAATTAAAAGGGCGAAGTAAAAGTCAGAAGTAAATTACATTTAAAATAATTTAAAAATGTTAACATATTTACAATAGAAATATTACAAAAAATTGCTTAAAATTAAAAACATTATGCCCGTTACTTAAAATTAAAAACATGCTGCGCGTAACAATTGTTAAAATTAAAAACATGCTGCGCGTAACAATTGTTAAGCAATTTTTGTAATATTTCTATTGTAAATATGTTAACATTTTAATATTATTTTAAATGTAATTTACTTCTGACTCTTACTTCGCCCTTTTAATTTTTGTTGAATAATGCCATTAATTTTATCTTGGCTTACTTTCGCCATATCCTCTTCATTTAAAAATAAAATTAATACTTTATTTTTATCCTCTAATAAGACCGGGAAATCATGCAATTGCTGTAATCGCTGTTCCATCGCAAATCGCAAATATTCGTCCGTTCATTGTTGTATTGTCCGGTACTCGTTGCTCGTTCCGAATTACAAATCATGCGCATAGACCGCATGAACGCATCAGACGCATCAACTGCCTCAGGTCGAAAGAGAAGCAGTCAATGCGCTGAGTGGAGTGCTAAGAATTCAGTACGGTTAGTACAATCTGGGGAATTCAAGTACTCTCGAAGCGCTTTCGAAGCGCGCAATAGTTAACTCGGAACGACTAGTGACCCTATTACAGGGTCACTAGGAACGACTTTCTATGCAGTCTACGCGCTTCATGCGCGACTCGGAACGCACCCCAAGTCTCAACTTGTATGTACTTATATGTACTAAGTGATAACTCTGGTAAAAATTCTTGGAAAGAGAGACGAAGGGAACACATTCACAGCAGTTGCGGATTACAATTTTTTACATCTCAAAGTTTTTGCAATGACGATAACAACCCTATCCAACGAAATAATCTACATCATCCTGCATCAAGAAATTGTTAGCATCAAGGACATCGTGAGCTTCGGTTTAACATGCAGACAATTTCTCAATGTGATCTGTCACAACAACATACTATGGCAAACAAAACTTTATCAGAGGTAACTTCGTCATTCTCTCGAAATTCTTATCACGATTTACTTAGACAAGTTTGTTAAGTTTGTCTAAAATTGCGCGCAATTCATAATAATTCATATCCTTTGATTTCGTCAAAAAAAACTTCTAACGAATTGGCACAAATGGTAAAGTGATGACAAATGGTAAACTCAACGAATACGTCAATTTGTATTTTTTTTTTTTTTTTCGCAAATTTCGTACAACTAATTCATTTCAATTTTTAAACTGTTTCAAATTATCTGACCCTTTACTCAAGATAGCATTCATGATAACTTTAATAAGAATTCAATAACGAACGAAAAATCCTGATGGAGTAAATAACTCCATGATCAATTCTCTTTATGTGATTCACTTGATTTCTCATATCTACATTAAACTTTATCATAACTTTTTTATGGCTACATTCGAAGATTAAATATTTGGTTTTTTCGTTCCTATTAAATTGTCATTATTGTTTTGTCTTCAAGGATACAATAACTTATTATTTTATATTTAATAAATAAATAAAAATTAAGATTAAGACAAGGTTAAGAAACAAATGATTACATTTAGAATCTATTCTAAGGTTCAAAAAAGATGAACAAAATGTCTGTTCTTTTTCCACCCCAAGTTCTAAATTGTAGTACCTGGTGCAAATAAGTTAGACAGCTATAGTTTGTTTTATTCTAATAGCGTTTTCAGATGCAGTGGGTTTGAACTCGACCAGGTCAATTAACCTATGTTTGACCCGAAAGTATTATGACATTGTTCAAGCAGAAATCAAAGTAAAGCATTTGACATCATTGATCTGACCCAGATCAAGCTCACTCCATTCGAAAAAGCCATAATTTATTATACTACTTCAGAATTGGTTCAGAATTCTTCCGAAAGAAAAAAAAACAGACTTAAAATGAATAAAATTATTGATATCGATGAACTTTTTGAATTGGTACACACACAGCAATAAGATAAAGTAAAACAATCTTGGTACTTTTGTTTTACTTCAGACCTACATTGTAAACAAGAATGGATTAAAATAAACTGAAATTTTGACCCATTTAAATCTGAATGTATACATACTTTAGTAGCATTTATGATCCATTCTCACTTTTTTACACTTATTTTGATGGAAAAACTTATTTAGATTCAGTTGGATTGAGAAACTATACATCTCAGAATTTTGAATTAAGCTGTGTTCATGATGCATGACCTAAAGAACTGAAATTTTTTTAAACTGAAAGGCATAGAAATGTGCTTCATGCAATTCCTATAAATTAAAAAAGCATTGAGATTCAAAAGGATTTATTTCTAATGTGTTTACACAAATGTGTACTTGTAGGAATCTGAATCTACTTTAATCTGTTTCAATCCATTTTTGTTTACAAGGACCAGTTTACAGAGTTCATCAATAAGGAATAGATAGGAAATTTTCTATGAAATAAAGAGATAAATGTTGAAATTAGAAATTTAGTATTTGCTGCTGAAAAAGTAATAGTTTGCAATAGTTGAAGATTCTGCAATATGATTGGTTTATACATATAGATCCAATGAGATAGATACTAATTGTAAGAGCAAGACTAATTATATTAAAGAATTTTATATTCAATAATTTATTGAACATACATTTTTGAAATTACTGAAAAATAATTTAATGTATTAATTCAGATAGTTATTATTTTACACAATAATGTGTAAATAGTTTTTTTAAAAACTAAACATAGATTCCGAATTATAATTGTTTTATACATGATTACAAATATATTCTTTTTACAATAATTAATAAAAATAATGTGTTTTGTTTACAATATATTTATATTAATGACAAATTTGTTTATAACGAGTATATAAATTTGATGTATTTTGTTGTATTTATTATATTACAAAATAATGACTTTAGTTTTGATTGTTCTATACAACTTTCTTTTTAATTTATAATTGTTTTATAATATGTGCAAATTTTGTAGATGCCCTCACTTAAAATTTTTGAAAATAACGAAGTATTTTTGGTTTTAATGTTAGATGGCCTCGTATGAAAAAAATTTATGACAATCGAATACAAAATAAAGAATGTATAAATTTTAAAGATGAAGTAAAAGCAAGCATAAAATGTAGAAATAAATTACGGAGTCTCTTATCACTAATGTCTGAGAAGTTCTTTCAAAAGGACTATTTATCAGAAAGTGATATGAAACATTTCGATGCACTATTCTGTCCAGATATGGGTGGTCATATCATGAATTATCATTTCCTCAAGGATGAAATGATACATCTGATTACAATGTCCTCGCTGTAAGATTTAATAAATTATTAATATTGTAGAGATGTAAATGTATATGAATTAATTGTGCAATTAATGTACATATATTTTTCAGATTACCTGACTGTAACTTAACACATAAATATTACAGCAAAGAACTTCTTCTATATTTACAACAGCGTCATATAAAGAACATATGGCAGGAATTTATAAATTGTCCCAAAGAACAGCAGCTTCTAGAAAAGGCAGCTACTATTGTAGCACAATGGTATCAACCTCAAAAACATATCTTTTATTGTGATGTGGAAGCATCGCTAGATAATATTGCACAACAGGTATTCGAGCGTCTTAAAAAGGCACATTGGGAGCATCCAATATTCTCAAAATCCGCTGAACAATTTTCTTTTTGGAAACATAACATTAACGATAATCAATGGAGCAAAAAGGAAGAAGAACAGATAATAAATATACTTCGAACAATTTTATTTGATGAATTAGGTTTCTGTGGATCTTCGGTTTCAGACTCCTACACATATAAACTGGAGGATATTCTTATAGATTGTGTAAGATATAAATTATGATTATGTTACATTTCCATTATGAGCACAATTTTATATTTATATGTTATATTAATATAACAATATATAAAAATATATTAATAATTTCTATATATGTATATATAGGATGTGCCAGATTTCACGTGAAACTCATATAATAGCCCATTCCTGAAATTCAAGTCAAAAATTGCAATACCAACATATCTAAACTACAGTAATTTTTTAATAAAAAGGGTTTTAATTTAGTCAATTAAACTGTTCGAAATTCGCGCATTTAGGCATAGTACACTGCACAAAAGTGAAGATATTTTCAAGCATCAATTCTGTTCATTTTTTGAAACACCTTTACTATTGTACAATGTATCATGCCAGATTATGCAAATTTCGATAGTTCAGTTGGCTAAATTTAAATCTTTTTCATTTAAAAATTACTTTATATTTTGATATTAAAATTTTTATTTCGAAATGGTTTCAAGAATTTGCTGTTAACGAGCAACATGCGAAATCTGAGATATTTTACACACACAAAATAATTTAATTTGTAATTTTTAGGTTTTAGAAAACAAAGTTGGTGATGCTGTATCTCTAGCAATAATATTCCACAGTGTAACAAGGAGACTTGGCGTACGCTGTAATCTAATATCGTTTCCTACTCACTTTTTTTTAAGTTGGAAGCCCAAATCGTAAGTATAATTTAATAATTTATAAGCATTTAATTTATCAAACTTATCATATCTCAGTGAATCAATGTCAATTCGACGTCGAATTGATGATTTCGACGTCAAATCAACATCAATTCTATGTCGATTTCATTATCATTTCTCATTGGGATATTTACATGATGATGATGACTCCTTTTATCTCCTTTATGTGGAGCATAGGACGTCTACGAGTCTCCTCCATCTTACTCTATTTTGGGCAATCGTTTTTATTTCTACCCAGCTTTTTCCAATAGATTTCATTATCTATTGTTCTCCTCCAAGACATGGCAGGTCTCCCTCTTTTGCGCTTTCTTTGCGGATTGTATTCCATGGCTATGCGAGCTACGTTATGCGAATCTTTCCTCAGAGTATGTCCGATCCATTTCCATTTTCTGCGACGGATTTCAGTGCCTATTTTTTCTTGCTTGGATGCGCGCAGTAGTTCTTCGTTTGTTGGCGAGTTTGGCCAGAACAGTCTCAGAATTTGTCGCGGACATTTATTCACGAAGACCTGAAGTTTGTTTATCAGTCCGTCTGTGTTTTTCCAGGTCTCGCAGCCGTATAGCAACACAGATTTGATGCAAGCATTGAATAAACGAAGCTTATGTATGTTAGATATCTTTGAGTTTCTCCATATTTTGAAGAAGACTCCATAGTCTGAAGAAGGCTTGTCGGGCCTTGTTTATTCTTTTGCTAACATCTATGTTGGTGCCTCTGTCTTTGGCAATTACGCATCCAAGGTATACAAAGTCGTTGACTTCTTCGATTGTGCGTCCTTCAATGGAAATAGGTGTGCTTATGTTTGTTCCAATACGTATTATTTTTGTTTTGTTGGTGTTGATCTTTAGTCCAACTTCTGCAGCGTATCTTTGAAGTGCTGAAATTCTCCCCTGTGTGTATCTTTGTGTGTATGAGATAGTAACACGATGTCGTCCGCATAGTCGAGATCGTTAAGTCGGTGAGTCAGCAGCCACTGTATTCCGCCTGTTGTTTCTTGATTGCACTTTTCCATCACCGTATCCAGTACCATTAAGAATAGCAGCGGTAATAGAATGCAACCTTGACGTACACCTCTTCTGATTTGGAAGGAGGGGATCAGGTTTCCTTTGAAGAGAACACTACATTTCGCGTTATCATATAATTCTTTTATTAGTCTGAGATATTTACATATACATACAAAATAAATTATAAATCATAAGTATGTATTAAATTTTGTGAACATATTCCTGAATAAAAAAAAAAGACAAATGTTCCTATGAACACTAAGGGTTCGTTCCACTTAACGTTCGCAACGATCGCGTGTATCATCTCATCCTTACTTAATATTCGATTACAAGAAGGACAAAATGATCCTCGCGAGCGTTGCGAACGTTAAGTGGAACGTACACCAAGTAGCAAATACTTGTTATCAAAATAACGGATACAAATAGATTTGAAATAATATACCAATCATGTATGAATTATCCTCAGGCATGTATGGAAAAATTTCTTGTAAACAAAAAAATAATCCTTAAACTTTTAAATGTCATTATTTGATATTACCGTATTTGTATCTATTATTTTAACAACGAAGCATTTGCAAATGTAGTTTGTAGAAACATTTGTTCTATCTTTTTGTTTAGAAACATGTTCAAGAATAGTAAAACAACTTGCATAATATATCATATAAGCACGAATGCTATGTAAATATGTACATACATGAATTACATATCCTTTTTTGTTGCCTATAGTATCACAGAAAAATCTGAAGAAGAATGTTTCTATATTGATATCTTTCATGGTGGGGCCATTGTAGGTAGAAACGATTGTCCCCGAACACGTGGTAGAAGATGTCCCATAGAAAATTTTAATAAACACAATGAAATTAGTCCTACAGAGGTTAGTGTTGTATATCTTATTAAATTTAGAAATAAGTAATAAAAATATTATAGATCAGTCACAAAGAAATTAATTATATATATATATGTGTGTGTGTTATATCATATATATATATATAATGTATATATATATATATACATATATACATAAAACAATTATATATATATATATAAGATATATAACAGCATACACAGTTATATGTAACAGTAGCTTAATTTATATATATATATATATAACTGAAGAAATTAATTTTTTTATTTGTTGCATTGTTATAACTTAGTTTATATATATATATCTTAATTTTAAGGTGGTGTTACGAATGATTTATCATTTACAAATGGTTAATCCTAACTATCAACATTATCAAGACAGAACTCTGCAAATACGCTCATTGATGGAATTCCGTTATATGATAAAGCCATATGATATAGATGAAATTCAAGCACTAGGTCACCATTATATGCAAAATCAAATGGATTTATCAGATCTCTTAAACTCACTACAGAAAATATTGGTATGTAAATTTAATTTATATATAAATAATCGAAATCTGACATTCTTATTAAATTTTTTTTCGCAATATAATAAGAATTAATTATTTAACATAAGAATTATTACTAATATGAGTACAAAAAAACTTTCATTTTTTATATTTTTGTTGCATAAGCAAGTTTTGAGTCTTAAGATGTATATATATTTTCATACATTTGTGCGCTAATGAAGCAACTATATTAATACAAGAAGTGTTTTGTAAACTTTATTTTTCTATATATTCAGAACAGTTGTAACAGAATATCTATGGAAGCAATTCGAGCTAGAGAGCTGCTAATTAAATTTGAATTTTACATGGAGAAAAGAATGGTACGTATTTATGGTAATTTATAATGAAAAATATGCAATTTATGCATATGAAGTCCACTTTATACTATAATTTGTGTTACAATCTATTTATAATTTTACGTATGAAATCATAAATATAAATATAGATTAGAAAGAAACTTCTGTTTGAAAATTGTGAAAGAAATTAAATAAATCATAATTTGATTTTTAATTATATATTCAATTTTCTTCTTTTATTGACATGATCATTCAGAAATGTGATATAGTTAAAAAATATGTGTGAATATGATGAAAGCATAGAGAGAAAATTATTTAATCGTAACAGCACATTAGTTTTAGAATTTTTTTTTTCTCTAGATTACTAATATCAAACACATACATAAATTAAATTTTGTCATTTATATTTATATCAATAAAATTAGTTTATGTGTATATTTGCTTATCCGATTGAATAACTACTTATATTCAAAGTGCTTAAAAATTTTAAGTTTTCAATTTACATCCTTTTATTTCTAAAAATAAAGCATTGTAATTATAATTCTGAATGTTTACATATTTTTTTATATTATTCAATACATAATATTTATAAATAAAATTCTGTCATAAATAATGGATTGTATGAGGTAAACTTTAAATATAGTATGTAATATGTTAATGCTCGCTGCAATTGCACTAAATATTCATTTATCAGAATTTCATCTATTCAGATATAGTTAATGGATTAACCCATTTTATGAATTATATTAATTAAAATATCATATATTATTACAGGATTGCTACAAGTCAGGGAAAAGTAAGGAAATTTAAAAATGCGTCAGGGGAATCAGGGAAAGTCAGGGATTTAGCTAAAATTTTTGGAAAAACGAAATAGCTGTAAAGAAATTTAAAGCATCTGTTTAGCCCGGTGTCTGTTTCATTTAATCACGGCGCCACTGTCGATAAAATCAACTATGATAAAAAATCGAAAAATTTAGCGAAAAATTTAACGCTCTTTGTCATAAGAAAGAAGTAATTAATTTATGCAAGCAATTTGTTAAGGAAAATCAAAGAATTGATCATTTCTGGAGAAACTTGTTTCAGGGTCAGGATAATTTCCAGTTTTTGTGAAAAAGATCCTTATTTTGAGTCATGATCAAGCATTTGTGGAAAGAGGATTTTCAATAAACAAAGAATGTATTGTTGAAAATCAATTACCTAGATCTCTAATATCTTAGACACAAGTTTACGATGACCTTAAGATTGTTGGTGGTCTCACTAAACTTACAATAGATATAAAAATGAGTTTTATCTATTGTAATAGTGACACTATATATACTCGTGTAGAAATTTAAGTAGGATCATACCGGTCAGTTTTCCCTAATTATTGTTAGATTGGTAAAGTACGTATTACTAATTAGCATCAATTTTAGAATAAAATTGTGAGAAAAAAAAGTTCCTCTAAATTCGAGAATTAATTTTTTTATGATGCTTCTAAATTGTCACTCATCTCAAGTTGATTTTATCTTATCGAAATGCAAGGGATATATATGGTAAAGCATTGAAAAAGTAGCACTCTAAGAAAAAACAAGAAAATGCAAAAATTGCTAAAAAAATCTTTGTTTACAAAAATTTCAGTTTTATATAAGAAAGTTCTATGTCACCTATGAACAAGTGAATAAAATACAAATGTTATTTTATATTTTTGTGATTTTTCTTTCAAATATATTAACTTTTATAAGCAGATTGAGATTTTAATAAACGGAACGTAGTTTTGATAAAAAAGAAACTGTATTCATTGATTTATGTTCCTTATATTTTAAGTACAGTAGCAAAAAGAAAGAGAGAAACAGGAAAAGAATCATATTCATACATAAAAGGAAAAGACAAAAAATACTACTAACTTAACAATAAAATGCAGTGTCAGCAATATTAATAGCAATTTAATTACACTGTTACGTTAAATTGCTCGATCAACAAAATATTTAACCATTTTCAAATCAAGATGAAAATACAAAAAATATTTCAAAATATGTATTATTGAAAGTCAGGGAAATCATAAAATTATGTCTGGAAATCAGGGAAATTTAGGATAAAAAATTTATGGCAATCCTGTATTAATAACTGTAACTTGAATATGGAAAATTATTTGGAAACTAAAAGTTTCTAATTTTAAGTTAAGTTTAAATGCATAAAAAGAAAATAATAGTTAAATTGTAAAAGATCTACATTTTTCAGACTTTACTTACAAGTGTCAGTTCGCCAAAGGTAAGATGTAAAATAAAATATGCAGTTGGAATGATTGTCACTTCCAAAAAACATGTTCCAAATTATACAGGCGTGATTATTGGATGGGATGAGACATTTAATCCACGAAATATAACTAATCCAGAACTGAAGATTGTAGATGCGAAATTTAATTCTATGGCGCAACCATTTTATTTTATTCTTAGTGAAGACGGTAATAAGTATTATGCTACCGAAGGTACAAACAGATTACTAGATATGTCTTATGTATATACATGTACTTTTATGATGTTATTTATATGCGTATAAGTGCGATATAACAGATTTTTTATTTTAGATTCTTTAATAGAGGCACACCCACCAAGATGGATTGAGCATATCGAGATTGGCCGATATTTTTGTAGATTTGCAGGGTCTCACTATGTACCTAACGAAGTGCTAAAAAGACAGTATATGTTCGACAAACTTGTTCTCGATGGACTTTGTTAGAGGAAAATGCTTCATTATCAACATCTTTTTTTAGTCTTTTTGTTAAAATATTGTGATCAAAAACTGTAAAGCACACTACTTTTTATTTAACAAATAATTATATTTAAAACAATCTCATTACATTAACTAATTAACCAAATTGCGATATTTTAGTCACTGAACGTTTATTTATGAAGAAATGTGGTACAAAGAGATTGTTTTAATAATAAGAAAAACTGTGATGTGTGATTATAATAAAACAATATTTTTCTAAAGAATGTATATAGCTTTTTATATAAGCAGAATAAAATTAAACTTGTACATAATATTTAATAAATATATATTTTGTATGTGTATAGCATATGTCAAAGCATAATTAATCACTTTTTATTGATATTTAAAAGAGTATCTTATTAAAATAATTTCGACGGAACTTAATGAAACTTAATCAGTGATCAAGTCTTTCAGTTTATGTCTATTTCTATTTTATACCAAATTAATCTCAGTTTAACTTATTTTAAGAATTATATAAAAAGAGAAAAGTATAAAATTAAAATGAATAGATGCTCATAAATAATTAGTGTCAAAAGTAGAACATTTTGTCATTAAATTATCATTTTCTAACTTACCGACATCAAAAACTTTAAAAATAGAACGCAGCTCACGCAAGATAATTTTCTTTCTCGAAATAAATTCGTGTAAGAATACATAAATGTATATACAAAAAAATATATGTATAAAACAGCAAAATCGAAGATAATTTTCTTACAAGTGCAGTATTTAAAAAATCGAATCAAGCATGATCACGTGGTAAAAGGCAGCCATCAGAAGCTATGACGTCAAAATGTGTACATTTCTAAAAACACCGTCATGAAACTCGTTAACACGCGCTATATCTTGTATACAGAAGAAAATATAAATAATCCATACAGAAAATACGTATTTCTAGAAAAGAAAAAGGTGAAAAAAGAAAGGATAGTACAGTCCGAACGAAACAGACATCCATAAGGAAGAAGAAACAAGCACTTGTGACTATCTTCTCTGACTCTATTCATTTTGATCACGCATCTTGATTTTTAACACCCGTATATACTCAGAATTCAGATCTGTTAAAGACAAGTTTTACAAAGTTGTTTGATATAAATTTTTCTGGCAGAATACCAACAGAAATACAACAGAATCTGTGCAAAATGTAATGGTAGATTGATTACAGAAACCTAGCAGAATCTGTTATTTCATAATTATTAGTTAGTGGTGGCTGAGTTACTTGAGATTTGTTGTGTGATAGGTATTTATTAGTTTTAGTCTTTAAAACATACATTCTCTATACATCGCAAGCATGTCAGGAATCAAATTTAAAAAGTGCTGTCTTTTTCTTCTTTTATGTATTATATTTATGTACGGAGCAATTTTTTTATTATCTAATAGAATAGGATTAATCAAGAATGATTCAGTCAGTCTTGCAAAGTTTTTTTGTGAATACACATCTAAGTAGTGAATTGTATGCATTTTCAATCTCTTTCCAAGGTTATATAACATCCTTTAAAGAATCTTTTCAATCTTCCAAGGTTGAAACAATAAATGAAAATTTTATCAATATAGATTTATTAAGGATCTGATAAAATTAATGTAGGGACCGTAAATAATAGGTATAAATTTTAATTATTTTATGTAACATTCCAGAGCAAGGTTGAATAAATCACGAATAGTGATACATAAAAAAAATTCTGTTGGTAATCTGTTATCAGATTATTCTACTGACAGAATACAAGTTATAATGTATAGGTGTTCATAACACAATGTATTAAATACATCATTTGTTCTTTTTTAACATTTACGATGCATCATGCGTGAAACAGAATACATAATGTAGATATCAATTTTCCGTAATACTTTGTTTGCATCTTCTAGCAAATTGCTAATGTACTGTTTTGTTTATTGATATATCAGTTTCTTTATTTCAGAATAAAATATCTAAGTTTGTTTTTTTCATCATTACATCTTTTCAGATAAAAATCAACATTAAATTCTATATTTCTGATTTTAGTACTATGCCGATTTTACCTGCAAATTCAAAGCATTTATCCAATGATGCTCATCCGACAAATCCATACAAGAATGATATTGTGTTAAGTTATCATGATTACTTACTCAGGACATCAGATGTCGCATTACTGGAGAGAAATGACTGGCTTAATGACATTCTAATAGGATTCTATTTTGAATATCTGAATCAACAATATAGGAAGGATAATAAAAGCCAGTTATTATTTATTGGACCCGAAGTAGCTCAGTTATTAAAGATGCAGGATTCTTCACAATATAATATATTTTTGGATCCTATTGAAGCTACAAATTATGATTTTATATTCTTTCCTCTTAATGACTGTGATAGCAACGAGGCAGGTGGCTCACATTGGAGCTTATTAGTATATTCTCGTATGGAAAAAATGTGTTATCATTTTGATTCGTCCAGCGGTATTAATGGCTTCTCTGCGAAAAAACTTGCACGGAAAGTGATAAAATATTTTCTTGAGAAACAAGAGAGAAAATATATTGAAATGGATTGTCCGCAACAAAATAATAGCTACGATTGCGGTTTATATGTTTTATGTTTAGCAGATATAATATCTAAATATGCTATAAAAAATTGTAGAGTAAGCGATTGTGATTGTAGTATCGTTCCAGAAATGGTTTCGAAAAAACGTAACAGTTTATTAAAATTAATTTACGATTTGAAAAATACATCTAATAATGCATAACAGAATTACTATTAATGTTAACAATTTTAGCTACAATGTGGTATTAGCGATTATGGTTTACTTATATAACAAACTTTACTAATGCTCTAAAGTATTAATGTTTTCCTTAATCTTTTCTATTTTTTCTTTGACATTTACTTATATAATTGTTTGACATTAATATACCAAAAATACCTTAAATTTTCAAAAGTTCATACTCTTATTTTTTAAATAAATAAAATTTCAATATTTTATATTATTTATCAAAAGAAAAAGATATATAATGAATTAAATATAAACATATTGAAAATAATTCTTTAAGATTAGAAAATGTTAAGAAATCTATTGTATCAACTATATTATATCCATTGTATAAATAACATGCACAACAATATAAAATGTAACATGATTAGTTGTTTGAATCCATTTGATCAAATAATGATTAATTTGAACGAATTCAGTACAAATATGAGAAATAATGCGTATATAAGAGCAACTTACAATTAACGAGAGAGATCCTAATCCGCCGTATCTTATATTTCGATTTATAAGAGATTGCTTGAAGAATAGAAGTTGTGAAAAAAAGAGTATGAGGTGAATTGTAACCCATTTCGGGAACAATAAAACTGACATATGTGACAAAAATGTGAAAGTTTTTATAATATAATATCGCAAACTTTAAAATACAAGAGTTTTTTATTTAAGTCAATGAGTCTAATACTAAAAAAATGTAAATTAATGTTAGAGAGTAATGTGCATAATATATATATTTGTTTTACAGAAAATACATAAAAGTGAAACAAATAATTAATATAACTTTTTGAAGTACAATCTTAGTAAATACATTTTTACTAACAAAAAGTCATTAATAAAATCAAAAATTTTATGTTGATATCCTTAAAATATATACATATTTGTGATAGCGTCCCATTTGACCATGTTGCGATTGATCACAGTTATTGATCTAATGCCTAGTTTTTTCGAGACAAGTTCTGCGAGTATTTTGTGATCTTTTACAACGTGATCAAACGACTCTCTCCCCATATTTATACATATCTTTAATTACGTTTGATGTAAAATTAATTTATAGATGGCTATAGTAAGATGCATGAATTACCATATCTCGTGTGATGTCTTTTACGGATCTGCAACCTAAAAGAAACATTGATTTTAAAAATATTTCACTAAATTAATCAATAAAACATTGATGTAAAAACAAATTAACACCGATGAGAACATGCCATAACGGTCAAGCTAGAATTTATATACTACGTTTGTAGTTTTTTAATTACGCGCCGAATTTTTTTCAGACTTGAAACGCAACACTACTAAATTACCCCCAGTGAGAAATAACAATGGAATGGACATCGATTCGATGTCCATTCCATTGTCATTTCTCACTGTGCCACAGTAATATTACGAGTTAAATTGTTCTAACAAAAAAATTCGGCGCGCAATTAAAAATCCATGAACATAGTATATAAATTCACGCGTAATTATATAGAAGCACCCAAGATCTAGCTTAACCGTTACGGCATATATATTGTTATCGGTATTTATTTGTTTAAATTCTCACGGTCCAATAAGATTTGATTTTTGATTGATGTAAAAAATTGAGCATTATCTTACCAGTTAATGCGAATGCAGAATCAATTTCTTTCCTCATAAGTTCAAGAATCTCGCAGGCACCTTTCTCGCCATTATATGCCAAACCCCATAGCATCGGTCTGCCAATAAATACCTGCAAAAAACCACCACTAAATTTGAACAAAAATGTAAAAAAGTAAAAAATTTATATACTTAACAGTAAAAGAATTATTTGAACAATACGTCTGTAAATTAAACGAAAACTATTTACAAATCTATAATATTTTATTTTAAGTATTTATATGTGTATTTGTGCCTGTATGTTCAACGAATACCATTTTTGCACCCAATGCCAAGGCTTTGAACACATCGATGCCTTGCGTCACTCCACCATCCATATAGATTTCTATTTTATCTCCTACAGCTTTGCTAATTTCAGGTAAAACTTCGATCTATGAATACAATTATTTCAATAATTCACGCACAGTATACATATACTATATAATCTTCTAAAATCTAAATGATTGTCTAATACACTTAAGTTTTCAATATCAAAAACTGTTTAAGCAAGAAATAAAACCAACCGTTGCTGGAACACTGTCTATTTGACGTGCACCATGATTTGATACTATGATGCCATCAGCCCCACTTTCTACGGCTAAACATGCATCTTCTACCGTTAATACTCCTTTAAGAATTACCGGTAGTGTTGTAATTCTACGACAAATTTAATTCAAATACTTATTATTTGATTTGCTCGATGCGATATGGTAAAAGTTTATTGCTTCAAAATATTAAGATAAGGAAAGTTCACAAACAAAATGATATGCAAATACCTTTTAAGCCATTTTACGTCGTCCCAGGAGAGAGATGTATCAAACAGTGCAGTAACATATTCATTAAGACCAGATCCAGTCTTCGCCGAATTTATTCGTTTCGATAAATCACCTTGGAAATTTGCGAATCTAAAGCAAGGAATATGCCATTTTGCAGTACGTTATTAATAAATTTCACTTAAATTTGAAATACATAATAAATTTAGAGATTGATTATTTTATTGTCTATATATATATTATCTGTTCTTGATTCTTTTTTGTATTTGTAATTAAAAAATAATCTAGTTTTTTCTCGACATAAACTAGTATAGTAGTTTGAAAAGTAAGAAATGAAAAATACTTGTTATTAATTTTAAACAACTCTTACAAATATTGCCATTTATTATCTCTTAGTATTTGATTCTTTAAAGTTAATGACAATTTACTAACTCATCTATGTATAAGTGTTTTTATAAAAGTACATATGTGTGTGTACATTTATACATTCAATATTTTCTATATACCTACCTCAAATGATTAGGCAATGAAAATTTATTTCTCAAATCTGCGCGTCGATCACCAAAAATTGGCGCATCGATGGTGAGAGCCAGCGCTTTGAAACCAGAACGTTCGGCACGTCTTATCAAATTTAAAGTAACATTTCTATCAGTATAAACATAGAGCTGGAGCCACTTTACACCTTTCGGCGCAGCTTCTGCCACTTCCTCTATACTACTCGTGGATATTGTCGAAAGAATGAAAATTGTTTCTGCTGCTTGAGCGGCTAAAAATAGACAAAAACGACAAAAATATTAGTAGTAAAAACATTTAAAAAAATATATCTATAATTAAGTGTATAAAGCTATTCAAATATTTTATTGTACATATACATAATTACCGGTGTTCCGGTTAGTTTTGAGGGATTTTTTTTACCAAAGAAACATGTTTTTTAGGGTGCTATTTTATTCGTGCATTTTTGTCGTACGATAGATGTATGCAGGACAGAGACATCCTCTGATATTTATCCTATAGCCAATCAATCTTAACTCGATCAATTCGTCTGCGAACTTTTCATCTTTGCATATAGTAGCCTTTAGATTCTATCAAATGGTAATCAAATTATAGATAATTCAGTTATTTTCGAATTGTCTATAATCAGTCTCATTATTTAAATAAAAAACATTTATAATGATACTTAGCTAGATTTTTTAATTATTAAATATACAGGGTGTGCCAAAATCAAAGCAAAAAATTTCTAACTATACATAATTTATTGTTCTTAATTTAATATTTTTTCCACATGTTGAACAAGAAAGCACTAATAATTCTATCCATATTAAAAAATTATATTGCATTGGTATGTATTATTAGACATTAATATAAAAAATAGTACTATTATGGCTGGGTCCACAACGTCGTCGCTTCAAGAGGCCCTAAGCCGTAAAGCTGTAAGAAATTGACCAATTATAGTTGAATGCGAGAAAAATAATCAACTGTGATTGGTCGATTTCTTACGGCTTTACAGCTTAGAGCCTCTTAAAGCGAGGTTGTGGACTCAGTCTAAATGTCAAATTTAATTGGTACACATATTTTATAAGATTTCAAATTGCCAAAAAAGGATAAAAGTTAATTCCCAATTACACTGAATTTTTAAACCTCATATCTTTTAACAAAAGACAACGAAAGCGTGAAATGATGTCGCGATGAAGATAATACAATGCGAAAGAAGCGTACGTTTAATTGTTACTTCGATACGTCTTTCACAAGAAGATCTATACTGCATAAATTACGAATATAACATAGAGAATGATACAATAGATAATGACAGGTAATGAATGTTGTAGAAACAGGTCGCATGACGTAGTCATACAGGTGAAATCGAAATTTACAATACTAGTATTACTTGAAATAATGCAACGATATATATAACGTGCTATAATTTTAATAGTAAAAATCGGACGTGATTTTAATCGCAGTTACTATTCAATATAGTAATTTTAAACAAACGAAATAGTTAAATGATAGGCATTATATGAAATATTCAGCATAAATATAGAATTATTAATTCTTGCTGCTTGAAATATATAGGAAAAAGGATCAGAAAACAGTTAGAAATTTTGCAAGCAATTCTGTCAATGTAATTCAACGCCAAGTATATAAGTTATAATTCATGGTAAAATTAGTTTATATCAAGCAATGTTAGCAATATTTTGTTAGCAATATTTTTGAATTGTGGCTTAAATAAAATATGATTGTTTAACATACGAAAAAGATTAATTTTTAAAAAACAAGTTAAAAATTTGAATGCAAAACAATTCTGTTAATTAAATTAATCGCCAATTAATTCGATTATTATACATTTTTACTTGAAAACGAAGAGAAATAATTAAGCTAAAAGACAATGAATTATAATAACTAGAAATTTTTCTTCGAGCGATTATTTTATCGGTTGAATTTAATAATCGTTTAAATTAATCGTCCAGTTTTCATCGAAGTTAATTTTAGTAAAAGACTATTTCACGTATAAATAATTTCCTTATAAAATTCACATTCTTATTTCTTATTTAAAAGATTTAAAGATACGTCGTGTACATACAAGGACAAATAGGTTTCGATCGA